TCCGATCTGCAAAGTTTCTCTTTTCCGTAACGAGCCTCTTTAACCTCTTGCGCTGGAATGACGTGCCACGCACGTCGACAATTTTTTCCCAGTCCCAAATTGCAACATTTTTTAAGTACATTTAAATGTAACCCAGGCAAAACAAATGATAAGTTGATTACTTCTTAATCATTTCTATCCGGTGATATCATACCGACGAGTTGAAAAGGAAAAGAAAGCGACTAATTATTGTATACGGTTCGGTCACTCGTTATGGTCCGCGAACCAGTTACCAGCGCAGGGGATTAACTAACGTTTTGCACGTACGTGTAATATCGTGGATCGATGTGCATTTTGACGTTGGCTTTGTTTGTTAACTTCATAAACGAACAAGTGTCTTTTCTTCTTCGTTTGTATCATGTTAATTAATTTAAGAAAAGGGGGAGAGGGAAAGAGAAAACAAAAAGCGGAAACGAAAACAGCAGTCAGATGTCACGTTCGGATTTGCAAAAGCGAATCGGGAATATTAGGTCGATCGTCGAGTGAAGTCATACGAAATTCCTCGCGCATAGGGATCATAATTCAATCGTCTCTACTACGATGAACATGCTCGTCCGATTGTGTAACATTATGTAATCCCCCTCCCTCAGTGATTGATCTGCGTGCTAACGACACATTGACTTGTGTAATTGATAGCGCGTCACACGCCACGCGGTTAGGAATCACCTTATTTTTCCATTATTCTTCGTTCCACGTTTAGTTTCATCGTTTCGCGCGAAACTTGCAAAACTCTTTACTCGGCGTGCATATTCGAGACACAAGTTTGTCTTGATTGAATCGTGGCTTTATTAAATCTTTATTCTGGCACTTCAAAATCCCAGTCATCGCTGTGCATCTCGTGCACTACGACCCATATGAGAAAAAGAAAAAAAACAAAAATTGCTCGTCGAACAACAAGATCACGCGAAGTGAGAGCAGAAACACACGGAAAATGAATCGCGATCGATCTGGTCCCTTCTCCTCCCCCCTCCCCCCTTTCGGTGCGCCGTGTTCGTCGTTAACAAAAACATCGAAAATCCGTGGCAGAGCGTAGGAAGCCGGGAGGATTCCTCCGTCGAACCCTCCACCACCTTCTCCCCCTCCTGCATCCATATTAATTCGGCGATATTAATCAAGCAGCGAGTTCTCGCGTACAAAGGCTCGAACCGATGTAAGCGCAGTAGGAACTTTATTGTTTTGGTACCCTCCGGTTCAATATCGACGTGCCCTGTGACGCAATGCGTACGTACACTGGTTGCACATCACCCTCGCGCGTCGCCTAGCGTATGCGTGTGTGTACGTACGTACGTGCGGCCGCGCGAGCGTTCAAATATTCTGAAAACTCTCGACGAAGCAAGAGCTGCTACGTGTATGCACGCGACGGAGAGCATGTGTGTGTGTGTGTGTGTGCGTGTGCGTGAGTGCCCGACGTACACGTAGACGTAGACGACACACACACACACACACACACGCACGCGCGTGCACACACAAAGGCGGAGAAACGGAAGGATCACAAAGGGTTTTCTCGTTGCGAACAAGCAGCCAGACGGGCAAGTAAAAGCAGGTGCCGACTTCGAAAGAGAGTCGAAAGAGAGTTCGACGTGGGCTGTCGACGGGGGATCTCCAATCACTGGCAGGCAGCGTCTGCCATACGTGGGAGCTACCGCTGACTTTCAGCGGCATCTACCTTCTCTTTCCTTGCGCTCATTGTTTTCTCTCCTCGCCAGGCGAGAACCCGGCGAGAAGCTGCGAGACAGCAGCGAGACGATATACGTACATATGTACATGCAGTTGAATTCCGTCTCTCTGCGAAAATAGGTCGTCTCTCCAACTCAAGAGAGAAAAGAAAAGGAGACGAAATCTTCTATCGAGCTCTTTCGTAGGCAGAGAAGATCGATTCATCGAGGAGCAACGTTTCTTTTCGATAAATTACGTTCGAGATGAAACGAAACTCGAAGGAAAGGGGATTGCGGTGCGAGATCGTGCGACTTCGGAGGAACCGAAACCGAAACCAGAGATCCTGAGAATCGAGCTGCGCCACCGACCACCCGCAAACACAGGAAAAGACTAAAGGGCACGAGAGAAAGAAAAGACGCGAAAAGAAGAAAGGAATAACGTAATGGAGAGAGAATTGTAAAAAGAGGTCAGGGGCGACGTTTCGTCAAACCTGACTCTCTCGAGTCTCGGATCTGGGGGTTACTCTCTCGTTCCTCATACCCTGCGATTGTGTAGGGGCCACGAAAGGGGGTAGCTCGGTCTTCTCGCGCCCTTGCGCCGCGGGCATCCCGCGTTCTCTCTGTGTTCTCGCTCGTTTGTCTCGCCTCCGCGAGTGTCCAGATTAAGAAAATAGCGGGAGGCTCCCGCAGCGCGTATGGGAACCTGGCCAAACCAAAATCCTCAAAATCCCACTCTTCCAGTGGGAACCTCTGGACAGAAATTACCACAGAGAGAGAGAGAGAGAGAGAGAGAGAGAGAGAGCAATGTACTCGTGCGATTGAACGATTGTACAATTGCAGGATGTTTCTCGTCAGCGGAAAGAATTATGCTTTGAATTCAATTTTAGTCGAAATATTAATTTGCTGACACTAAAGCGGGTAATTTTATTAAAAAGTAAAAGAAAAAGGGGAGCACGGAACGTAACTTGATATATAATTCGATGCATTTATTTCGCAGTTATTTCCCCGCGAAAATACGTACTGGTCGACATTTTCTGTTATCGTGATAATCATCGGTAGATAGACCGGATGTTTGCATGTTGAGTTTCACAGTAGTCGTTGTTCACGACGCAAGGGTAGATTTATCTGATGGTAATATAGCGATCGACGATGCAGCTGCCATACCGTCTCTTCCTCCGTTTCAGAGCTGATTTAACGATTAACGTACTTAAGGATGATTTAAATCTAAAAGGTGTAGCGTTACAGTTTGCGTAATCATCGTTTGCGCTAAGGGAAGAATAATATTCAGTTTCAAGTTCTTGTATTTTGATAAGATTTCGTCAAGTGACGAACGCGCGAGAAAAAAAAATTGATAAATCGCAGAAACGAAGAGTGCACGGAGAGTAGAAGCGACTCTGACCTTAAACTTAATTTGGCGCGGAACCAGTTTTTTAAAATTTCCTCTATATGCAATTATCCCGCGCAGAATAAGCGACACCCTTAAACTCGCGACGCTTTCGCTCTCGCTTTGTGTATTCTCTCTCGCTCTCTCTCTATCTTCCCCCCTTTTCTACATTTTTTCTGTTAAAAATAACACCTCCGGACGAGAACGAGAAGACAGAGAGAGGGAGAGATGAGAAAGACCGTCGCGACAGAGAAACAGGGGAGTGAAAAGTGGCGGAGGTTACTTCCGGAAAAATTAATATCTCATGGGAAGGACGGTGTACCGGCTGTTAGCTCAAGTGCAGACGTCGCGAGAGCAGAGGGGACCACCGACGGGAAACTTTTCCCGAGTAACTTTCAACGATGGGTTCAAATACGTCGCACGTTGGTTCAAACATTCGCTATCTCGAGAGAAAGAGAGAGAGAGAGAGAGAGAGAGAGAAAGAGAGAGAGAGGGGAAAAAAGGAAAAAGAAGAAGAAGAAGAAGAAGAAGAAGAAGAAGCGGTATTTCTAAGAATTCAAACGCGATAAATTCGCGCGAATACTTTGATAAAGTATTGTTCGAAACAAGTTCGAAACTAAGAGCAGATATCTTTCGAGAAGAGTTTCGAGCTTTCGTCGAGTATCCCAAAGAAACTCTGATTCACGACTTGAGCTTCCAAACGACCGCAGAGCTCTCTCTCTCTCTCTCTCTCTCTCTCTTCTGTCGACTGAATTGGTTTGCTCTTCAAGATCAGTTTAATTGGTCTTGACCGCTTGACCGGAGTAATTGGCCGATCCGAAATTCGGTTTTGAAACTAGCTGCTGGTTGAATCTTGAGGCCATTTGAAGGCCTCCTCGAGATCTCTTTGTTCCCGGCCGGACGGCCAGCCATTGTTTAATGTTTGAAAAGTTCGAGCAGTTTGCAGTTTGCATCGATTGTTTCCGCGTCGATTGTTAAAGACTGGCTCTCCTCACGAAGATCCTCGGATTTTTCGATTGTGTTAGCTCTTGCCCCCAAACTTTGGGGAATAATGGGAATTTGTATTTTAATTAGACGAAAAATTGTGCGTTTGAAAATCTTTGATTCTTGACTCGGCTAAATACCACCGATCCAATGCACCAGGAAGCAAGAAGCAATATATAACCATTGTTGGCGAAACGAGTCTCTTTTTTTCTCCTCTCTTTCTCTCGTTTCTTTTTGCAATTTTTCCGCGACCAGGAGGATCAGATAGGAGAGGAGAGGAGAGGAGAGGAGAGGAGAGGAGAGAGGGAGACAGAAGAAAACTGGTCCCGCGGTGGTTGCGGGATATGATGAAAAGCACGTTGGTGAGGGACGCGAGGCGAAAGGGGAAGAGCATTTTGGTGGGTTGGAACGTGGCTGTAGAATTTCAGGAGGATCCCTGACGAGGGATTGGCTGTGTCGGAGTGAACTTATGAAACGGCCAACCCCGGTAGAGTCGAGCGAGATATTAAATTTCTGGAATTTTGCGGTTAGGCGCGTCTACATGCCGACGGGTCTGCCACCAACACATCCGCGTTTCTCTGCTCCGCGTGTCCACGTGCCGCGGCTAAGAAAATTCTTTCGCAGGATTTCTCCCATTCGACCTCGTCTCGATACCTCCGCTCCAAATAGTTACCAAACAACACGTTCCGTCCGCACGCGATAGAAGCATAGCACGTTCTTCACTTTTCGTTTGCCAGCGTTGCCAGCTCGTTGCACTTTTAATTGCTTTTCCTCTTCTCCTCTTCTCCAGAACGATATCATATACAGGAGATGACTGAACGCTCCAACAGCAAAGCAAACAGATTTCGTACTCAAAAGAAATAGGAAATTGTGCGGGGATACGGAGAGCGCAAACTAGGAAGGATGGAGAAAGTATGTTGTCAAGTCAACAGCCGCTATTTGCTCGTTAATATCGTCCTTGTTACTTCTTCTACTTTCTTACGCTTCGCGCTTACAATCTTCTTAAAATTAGTTTTAAATTCAGGACCTCGGCACGGTCCTCGTCAAACGACATGTACGAGTATGTACAAGTAAAGTTACAAGTGAATCGTCGTCCGTTCGAGTTACGGCAAGGTTAGAAGGTATCTAGAGTCGCTCGGTGCAGCGTAAGCAGCCAACGGGAGCACACCGGCGGGATTGTCGTACTGATACTGCACTTGCGTGGCGACCGGTTGAATCTCCAATTTTTGCGGTTTCGACTCGGCCGACGGTGATGCTGCGACCGAGGCGACTGGAGCGACGGACACTTGCAGTCCAGCTGGCACGATCTGCAACTTTTGCAGGGGGGCGTACGCGTAGATGGGCCCGCGGAGAGGTTCCACGTTCTCCGCGCGGATCTTGGCGAAGTACTTCATCGCCTCGATGTTCTGGCGGCTGACGTAACGGACGCGTTGGAGACGGCCATCGGGAAGGGCCACGTAGTACTCGCCGGACTGTTGCGGCTGCTGTTCGTCGACGTCCTCGTCGTCGAGCTCGTTCACGGCGTTGACGGGCTCGGACTGGTGGAGAGCAGACAAAGAGAACAGAAATGACAGAATATTAGATCGACGCCCTGTATCCTTAGTAGCAGGATTTCTCGCTTTGCAAGCCTCCGAATCTTCCGCAGCTAAAGAATTTCTTTATCTAGAGACGCTGTCCCAAAGTTTATCCGTATTTTCTCAGTTTTAAATTATTATACTCAAATATAATATAAACACAGGCAAGGCAATTATTTTAAAATGGAAAGTGAACTTGCAATTGGTGACATCATTCCGACGAGTTGATGAAAAAGAAAGCGACGAATTATTGTATACACGCTACTGTGAACCAGTTGCAAGCGAACCAGGTGCTGCGAATCTAAGAAATACTCCTGCTCTCTTTCTAAAAATCCTAGGCACCCGAGAAACTTCTTCCTCGACGAGACCAATTTCATTTCAAAAAAACTCCTTTCTCCTTCTTCTTCGGTTGAAAGAAGCCAAGCAAAAAGACCGGCAAATAAAGAATGAAAAAGAAAAAGAAAGCAGAGGAGCTTAAATTTCATCGTTGAAACATCGTGTTACGTGTTATCAGACTTGTTATCGTCTTATTTGGTACAACGAAGGAGAAGAAAAGAAGATTGGAAGTGTGCAGGGCCCGTTTGGCACAAGGCTGCACGAGGTTTCCACGGAATTTTAAATCGCCGTTCCAGGGAATCGTTCGTTCTCTCTCTCTCTTTCTTTCTCGGGTTCCCCTTTCTGTCTCCGTTCTCCTTTTTCGGCCGTCTTAACGACATTAGTATTCGACTCGTCGTTTACCTTCGATCGCTGTGCAGGCACGCGTGCGCCTGCCCCGCTACCAAATTCAAAGGCGGCGTGATACAATCCGTGATGCAGCGATCCGTGATTTCGGTTCCTTACCGATCGTTCTCGTTACCTCCCTTTCGTACCGTTTCTCGAAAAATTCCGCCGATCACTTAATTGCTCCCCTAATGTTAGATTCGTTGCCCCCGACTCGATCCTCTTGAAACGAACGTTTCTTTCGAAAGAAAATTTTCATGCATTTTCGCAGAAAGTTGCGCGTGAAAGGATTTTCCGATTATGACCACCGAGATTCTGTGTCGTTTCGAAGACACGAATTTGCACAATTTTTCTTATTGAAAAGTCTGCGGTATGACGGTTACTTTGGTTAATTTCGAGGGAAAAGTTGGAAGCAAAATGTGTCCCTTACCTCGGAATCGGTGACGCTAGCGACAGTGGTAGCATCCTCTGCCTCGGTGGTACTTGGCACTTCGGCAGTGGTGGTTTCTTGCGGTGGTCCGTACTGTTGTTGAGGAACTGCTGGTGGTCCGTATTGCTGTTGAGGCGCGCTAGGTGCTCCGTATTGCTGTTGAGGCGTGCTAGGTGCTCCGTATTGCTGCTGAGGAGCAGCAGGTGCCCCGTATTGTTGCTGAGGAGCAGTAGGTGCTCCGTACTGCTGTTGAGGTGCACTAGGTGCCCCGTATTGCCTCTGAGGTGCTCTCTGGGGAAGATTGAAGGCTGGACCGGCTGGTCTCCATCCGGAAGGTTGGTAAGGTGCGTTGGCCGCTGTGGTGGTTTCTTCTTGCTGTCTGGCAAAGTAGAATTGTCTCTGCTGCTGCGGACGATACCTCGGTGGCTCTGCCATCACCGTGGCCATCAGGAGAGCGAAAGCGACGTAGACCTTGGGGAAAAAAGCGACGTAGATTTCGAAAAAGTTAAGTATTACGTGTGTTGAGTGTGCGTGTGTTTTTTTATTTCTTCAAAAAATAGAAACGTAGAACAAGTACCTTCATTGTGGCGCTAGTGTGTTACTCGGTGAAGCTGTCGGGTTGACTGATTCCCGAAGTCGACGGGCTGGATTATATATACAGTGAGGCTCGTATGCGTGCTGCATGTTTAAAAAGAATTATACCGCCGGCTCGTCGGCCGTCAAGCGACATTGACCTCCTAAAACACTGATGAATCCTCGATCGTTGTTGGCTCACCATCCGGTTGCCTCGTACCTTTGCTTTTTCGGTACCCCGCGACACGTACACGATCGTCCTTTTTCGAATTTGCTTCTTGCTACCTGTCGTAGTAGTACGATAATTGAAAAAAAAGAAAAATAGGTATATTAGCACGTTCAACTGCACTGACGAAGGCATTCAAATTTTATTGCTAATATTTTATTGCTAATTGAATTTTTAGAAAGTTACGCACGCGTAATATATTGTACGAAAATTTCAAGGATTAATCGACGTTAACTAAGGATACCACCCGTAAGTAACGTCGTTTTCTTCAAATTACATAAACATTTAGTCATCAAGTGACAATAATTTTGCACAGTATCAAAAAACAACATTGGCCAACTTATGGATACCACAATGTCTAATATACTATAATATTATTATTATAATATATAGTATACCTACCTACGTGTATCGGCATCGATTATGCGACGATTACGTGTCGATTTAATATTAAACCAGACGACGAATCGATGACGGCACGCCGTAGTCTCCGTCCTAATTGATTCCTAGCACGCAGCACGCGTGACTGTGATGATTTTGCGCGCTAATGAATTCAGCGGTGTACCCGATCCTCGAGCATCACTCGGAGAAAAGAAGGATGGAGAGGACGTGCACAGTGATATCAGGGCCGAGCGGCGCGCGTTCATCCTTCGGAATTTATAATGGCAGATACAATTCTGTCAGCGGCTGATTCGTGATTCACGCGACAGTATCGCGAAAGAATCTCGTGGCCGACGCCAGACGTCGTAACATTCGTTCTCCGCGAATTTCGCGGACGCCGTCGGACTTTCAATCTCGAATTTCAAAAAAACTCTTGCAAAAAAGAGAATTATTTTCGATTCTCGTGTACGTGTAGCAGCGTCCCTATAAAATAGCGTATCGTGGCGATAAAGAATTTTAAACGACCAAGAATTCTAGTCAACGATAGTAATTGAGAGTTGAGAAACATTATCACGTTGTCATTGCAGAATTTATTCAGTGTCGTCAGGGTAATATTCGATACGTTGAAGTATCGAACGTGCCTCGATCTTTGCCGTTACGGGTGAGACGTGTACGGCCTCGTGTTCGTCGGGGAAATATTTAACATAAAATCGTCCAAAAGTAGGAATGGGTAACCGTGACTCGCGGAATGTGCCAATGTCGAAGGGCGATCTCGCGAGAGAGAAAAGAGAAAGAGAGAGAGAGAGAGAGAGAGAGAGAGAGAGAGAGAGAGTCTGGCCAGGGAACAGAGACGAATATAGAAGAGAAGGAAAGGAATAGCGAGAGTGGTAGGGGCAAGCGGAGGGGTGGCCCGGCTAAAGCAAATTATTCACACTCAAACGACTCCATTTCAATATCGGGCCGAGGCCCAGGGACAAAAGAAGGGCGAGATGCCTGTCTCCCTTCTGCTTTCGCTTTGCCAGTGCCCGATACCTTTGCCTGCAGCCTGCAGGCTTAACTCTCCTTTTTTCCATCCCTCTCTCTCTCACACACACTCTCTCTCTCTCTCTCTCTCTCTCTCTCTCTCGTTCTCGCTGTTTTTTTCTCTCCCTCCATCTTTGCCTTTGGTTCTAACCTCTTCTCTTCACGCTCATTTTTCTACGTTATTCCACTATCGCTCTGTGTGAACGTGTGTATATGTCGAATACACTGTAGAGAGAGAGAGAGAGAGAGAGAGAGAGAGAGAGCGATAAATGCAAGATAAAACGCCATGACGAGATATCCTTGACCTTTATGAGGTGGACTTGGCTAGCGGTGATGGTAGATTAGGATAGATGTATAATGACAATGGGAAAGGATACATTTTTTAATTGATTATTTCAGTTACAAGTTCATGCAAGAATCTGTTTCTGTAATTTACTGATATCTCAATCAACTCTACTCATCTCTCGAGAACGTACGTACGTATCGTGCAGAAAGAGTCCAACTCGAAACTCGAATAACGCGCGAATATCCTTCGAATCCTGCGGATTGCAGGAAGAAAAAGGATTGAAAAGAGATAGAAGCAGGAAGAAAGGCAAAATCACGGCCAAAGGCGACAAAGCTACGAACGTTAGGTAGAAGAAAAAAAAAAAGAAAGTGGAAAGCCGAGAGGAGAGAGTCCAGTCTAGGGCCAGAGTCGCGTAATTGAATATATTTAAGCGCGGGAGGGACGTTTGTGCGGATTCTCGGCTTACAGGGACCCCCGTACCGAGGCAACGTCTGCGAGTAAACTGGATTAATCGTCTATGAAGGGAGACTGTAACCCCCGCCGACATTCGTTTGCAATCAGATATTCCCTGTAGGGAATTGGCAACAACGCGAGTCTCTACGAATCGCGCTCGTGGGCCTTGTTTTCGTTTGTTGCTGTTGTATCGATCATCACAACGACGGTGTCGTCGCGAGGGGATAAAAGTACTATGATAATAATACTTTGTTGAGATACAATTCCCGTTTTTTTTTTTTTTTTTTTTTTTTGGACACTGGCGATCTCGTCTGAAAACGAACGCGGCGTTTGAAATCATACGAGTATAAATAGAAAAATGTATGCATGAAAACGAGAAGGTTTCGTGGTGAAACAGGCTTGTTCGCTATTCAACCGAGACACCTGACGCGACTTCTAATGACTGTTCCACCTTTTGATCGATGACACGAGTCGACCTAGTCGAGCACGTTCGTCTCTCCTTCCACTAAATTCATAAACATTCGCACGAACGTCGTTTCGCAAGTGACCGTGGCCAATGCCGATTTCGACGACACGATCGCACGGTCGGGTTGATCTTGTGACGATTAGCCACTCTAACTGGAAGGAAGCCTGCTCTGTATATTTCATACAAAACTTTCGCAACTCAAAAATTTCGTCTGATTCTTTCAGTAGTGATAGAGTTACTTTTCAAGAGGAAAATACAACGAATCGCGGCAGAGAGAGTGGAAATTGCGCGTTTCTTACCGATTCAGGGTCTCCGCCCGCGTTTCGGAAGCGGCTAAACCGAAACCACCGGTCGATGGTCGATTTTATTTGGACGACGCGGCCCCTGGGACGAACGAAGAGGGTGTATAACGATAGAGAAATTGTTTGGCTACCAGTTGCTTGCTCCCAAAAGGCTCGTTTTGCAAGTCGTAAACGAATTAGGGCTTTTCAACGCGGCCATTCATCCCAGCCCAGGGAAGAGATCACCCTTGGCCATTGATTTACATCGCGGTTAACGGGGTGGCTGCCGATACAAATTGCCCGTACCGGTGTATCCATACCGGTCAATTGCTTTTAACCGTCGGCCAAACGTAATTTTACCACTGATTTCCACTGATTTCGTGGCGTTAATTCGGTTGTTTTGAATTTTTCTCCGACGACGCGAACCGAGCGTGACATCTTTGAGAGAAATCCAAGTTTCGGAGAAATCGTTGTCGGACAATTTGAAAATATTTTAGTTAACCTAAATTTCTGTAGTTCGTAAGATGACACCTGAGACCAGTAGAAGTAAGACAGAGGTGCAAAGACCGCGTGAAGAGGAAGAGAATGAGAAGAGGTGAGGAGGAGAGGAGGAGAGAGTGGGGGGGGGGGGGAGAAGTGGCGAAGGAGGATGACGGCGCGAAGAAGGGGTTGCAGGAAAGGGCGGTTGGAAGTCTCGAGGCGAAACTTGCAAAGGTACATCGCGACTCAAGAGGCCGGAAGTAATCGCGTGAGTTTCCGCGCAGCGCAAATCTACGTTATCATCGGCCGATTTCACGGCATTTAGTGGCTGCTGAAGATTCCGCTGGCGTCGGCCCGTGTTGAGAAGAAAGATACGAGAGATCGTTGCTTACGAGTTACATTGTGCTCGGATTACGGAGAGAGTATATCACGCGCACCAGCAAGGGTAATCTAATCTTAGATTAATTTGCCGCGCATACCCGTTAATCGACACTTTTACTCTGATTTTCCTAGAAGATATAGAAAGACACTCCCTCGTGTCTTCTGGAATCAAAGATAAACTAAAACTAAAACGAATCAAATATCGAAGGGTCTGAATCACGACAAGGCCAACATGGTCAACAATTCGCGTCAATCTGAATCGATGTATTGGAACACAGAATTGAAAAAGAAACGAAGAGAAGAGAAGAGAAGAAAGAGCTGGATGAATGAAACCGATTGAAGACGCGTTTCAGCCGGAAAGGAAGCGGAAACACGGCGGGAGGAGGACGACGTGGAAGAGAGGGAAGGCGCAGAAGGAGAGCAAACGAAAAATGAAAGGTTTCAAATGAATCGCGTAATAACCTCTGTAGCCTGTTGGTTTCTTTCCTCCTTCTCCCGACGTTCATTCTCTCCCCTTCGTTTGCTCCCTATGGAAGAGCTGCTTATGTATTCCGGTGCACGGCTGGTTGCACCACTCCTAATGGAGTTTCCAATATTTTCCTTTCCGTCGACTCGCCTCTGTTCCTCGTTTCCCTTGCGCACTCCTCCTCGTTCGCTCTCCTCTTGCCGACCCGATCCATCTCCTCCTCCTCCTCGCCGCACCTCTCTCTCTTCTCACCGCGTTGATCGATTGCCAAACTCCTTCCGCTTAAACGTGCCCCTCTCTTCTATCTATCTCTTTGGCTCCCTTTCAGCGTCTCCTCCTCCTCCTCCTCCTCCTCCTCCTCTTCCTTTTCCTCTTCCTCTTCCTCTTCCTCTCTTCTCGCGGCAACCTGGCGTGCTAATTGTCGGTTAGCTCGTTAGGCTTCGGCCGCGACACTTCCGCGCTTGTTGTAATTGCTCCTCTCGCTTTATTTACAGTTTCTTCTCCGCGAGTAGCGATTTCTCGGGGGAAAGTCGAAGCTTTTAGTTTTAATTTGTAGAAAAGAAGAAGAAGAAGAAGAAGGAAACTTAAATTAGGAATAGGTCCCTACAGAATTTGAATTTTTCTTGTTTACAAAAGTATTATTTTTTATAAAAAAAAAAAAAAGAAATATTGCGGTATAAATCAGGATTTCTCAAAGTGTGTAATTCATAGG